TAGCTCAGTGCCTTTTCTCCCTTGGGGATATATCATATTACCGTATGAGATGGCGTAAAGATAGTTAATCACTTGGTCGTTACATAGATCATTGGTAATGAAGAGCTTGTTGAGCTTGACACCTTACTCCTCTCAGACGATTGTCTTGACATCCTATAAATTTCAAGTCTGCTCTCGAACCATACAATGTTTTGACATTAGCATATCCATGCTACAAAGGAAAAAGCTTTGATTTTATCACCTCACCTACGTGAATGACAAAGCTTAATCGACTCCCCTTCTACACTCCACTGAAGAACCCTGACCGCATTTTGATTGTTAACCTATATAATTCTATAGGATTCTAAGCAGAAAATGAGCGCGGGAAGTACCATGGGGTTGAAAATGCAGAAAAGGATATATTTGTCGTTCTTACGCCTCATTTTGTATATTATACAGAATTCTAAATGTTTCTTTGAAATCTCGATTTGGTTTTATTTAGTCGTGTACGGAACTTTTAGCGTGAGCCAGCAAAACAGCACCAAGCAAAAATTCTTTAGCAGCCTTTCTAGCAGTAAAATGATGTGATAACTACATCAACTATATTGAGCGATAGGCAAAACTTTGAACCACGAGAGGGAGTTTAACATGCGTCTCATTCCTTTCGAAGATGCATGCTAACCCCTGCACTGCAGGAGCCCTTGCTCTGCTGTCATTTTTTCTGCGAGACAAAGAATCGATTCTGGCAGCAGCCAACCGTCAACATATTGGGCTCGTAGGCACATTGCGGCCTTGAATCCTAGTCAGCGTCAAACTCTAGAACAAAACAACATCAAATTTGCAGAGCCTTAGATTGAAAGTAACGTTTAAAATTTCAAAATGTTGTTGTGCATTTCAACTCTCAACTTCAGCTTCAAAAAATTCGATTCGACATCAAGATTATGCTTATCTCTGGATGGTCGATGATACACGATCAGAAGTTTTTTTTACCGTTCACGATATGAATACCTAAATTTCATGTGTACAAAACAGCTTTTCGTGGTTATCTGAACACAACTCTACGCATAGGAGATACCCATACGTCGCCAGAAGTATGCTAAGAAATGTTTGCATGAGAGCATTGAGAAGAAACATGTGCAGGATGAGTTATGTTTGACTTGCATAGATGACATGGTGCTAATATGGAAAGAAATTTTACAGTTCGACATATTTTTTCCTCTAACACCGCTCAAAGAAATTTTTAAGAAATTCATTGCTTCTTTCCATGACACACCATGGCCATACTACGTCGAATGTCAACAAAATTGGCAGCTTTCTTTTTCGAATTTTATCCAATGCCCCGAAGACCCTCAATCCAGTTCTTCTCTAACGCGGCGAGCTCGTCGCTCACATAGACGACAACGCTAGAAAACGGTGCACTGAACTAGACAAACATTTTTTTACGTGATGTCTATTAAATATGTGGTCACTGTTTTTATACCTACCATGTAGTTAAAGATGGCAACGTCATTTTTCCCAAGCAGTAATAATCAATATTTACAATTCGTGGTAGAGGATGGCTGTGAAACAACTAAAGCTGAGTAGAAATGTATAAGGAGATTTTCAGCAAAAAAGTATTTCTCCGTTTGCTAATCCAACAAATGTTTCGTTCACTTCAAAAATGATGTCCTATTTCGAACGAAATAAGGTTGAGCAATGCTAAGAAAGCTCGGTCGCCCCACTATAACTCATTGTCATTAGGGAAGTAGCAGCTGATCTTGTACGAACAACTCGTAATACTATAATTCAATTAGAACACAGCTTTATTATGTGAATAAAAATCCATTTCAACCTATCCAATTTCGCCAACGGGAGACAGCTTTGCTCATCTTCTCAACACAGAATTCTGATTTTCTAGAAGCGACAAAATCTTTAGATAATTTTACTAGATAGACAATGTAAAATGCTCGTCGTCGCCTACTCTTAGTATAGAGGACTGAGCGCACCGAGAGGATTGGCTAAAGACGAAGGGTACCGCCCGGCTGATGAGACCGTCAAGGTTGATACATGTGTATCGGTCTGAATAAGTCAGCCAGACCACATGACATGTTGGCTTAAATAATAATTGAGATCTATTCGAAATTTCTAGTAATTTACTGCATTTTCGTAGTGTTGCGATGTTTCACATAAACCTAAGAGAATTGAGTGGTGAGCAAAAACAAGACCTCAGGCGGGATCCAACCCGCGTTTCATCCTATGCGAGACGCGTACTATGCCACTACACCACAGAGGCAAATTTGTGCCATCACTCGTTCTCCAATATCTCTATGATAGCTATCAGCAACCAACCTTTAACAGATTTGCTCGGGTATGCGATATCGCTTTATAAATCCAGTTGAGCTGACAGCCACTGTGGCAACTAGTACTCGAAATTTCTAGTATTATTACTGCATTTATATACTTTACGCACACCACGTATTATCTCTATTTACCAGACTGAAGGAAAGATAAATTTTTCCAAGAAAAAATAAGCCAAAGACAATCTATGCAGCAAATTTGAATGCTGCTTACCAAGTAGCGAAGTGATGTCTTAGGAAACCGATTCTCATTCAGCCTCAACATGGACCACCAATGCGTTTCGATTTACACATCGTTTATCCGCTTACTGTCTGTGACTCAAAAATTTCCATCCAGATCTTCATATTAAGGGCAAAGGGCAGACTTCAAGCCCAAGAAAAGAGACAAGAAAAGGTCGCTTTCAGTCATACGTAAAATTCTAAATGAATTTCTTCGCCGCATATTAGATTTATAAGCAAAACTAGTTGCGTGTCGAATCATACTTAACAAGCGTTCAGTGCCCAGATAGTATTTGGATTATTACTTGTTGCATGCGGAGAAAACGTGGCACATAACAATACGTAGACTTTCGGTCGGCAGTCAAGAAGTTTCGAAAATACATCTGATAAGGAGCGCAAAAAGTAAAGGTTCTGCGTCATCTTGACGGTAACAGAGACCTCTCTATATCCATGATGTTCAATTTTATATTCATCTTATAACGTCCTTCATTTGCACTAGTGAACAAATCATGGGATGCACCGCTGACACTTGAAATAACTGTCGTTCTCGAAACAAATTAATTTAAAAAAAGTTTTCCGCATCTCCATAATTGATAGCGCTTTTTTATTCGACGTTCTAAGTGTGTCTGATTCAGTTGTGCTGAACTGACAGGTAATGTACGCTTGATCATCGTTTACCACGTTCAAACTAACAAAAGTCTTACTTTTTCGATAGTCATACGCTTGCCCGGCCACCTCAATGAATGACGGTCTCAAGAGAGCAAGGCAAATGAAATCTTTTAAGAATCCATATGACCTACCTGTGAGGGCGGATTGAACCTAGTGTGTGCATACGCATGCTCAGATATTTAATACGTAGTAAATAGTTTTCTATATTCTTCACGCATACCGCGGATTATCTCTTTTCACCAAAACCATTTTACATCACTTTAGAGTTCTCGGCTGTGCAAAAATTGATTTATTTATTGTTGTTGGGTATTTTATGATGTTTTTGTCAAATGTTTGTAATAAAAGTCTTTGAAAGGTTGTTGGTTTTGCCTTTTGTGGAGTCGTTTAATTGAATTGTGGGTTGGAAGTGTTCGTCTCTTGCGCTGCGTGAGACCGACTCTAAAACTGGAAGCAGTAGCATTTGATCCTAACAGAGGCAAGAAAACGCAAGCGCGTTGTGGTTTCTTGAATAAACGGAGAATCGCACAGTCACTACTCAGTGAAAGTACACTCCATTAACGATCAAGGCATCGATATGGCTCTTTTCAAGAAGAGATCCAGATTATAACACGTATCTGCGGCCAACTCAACGACCACGGCACGACCGAGCTCTTTTTCCTCTTGGTACCCTGCTGTAATAACTGCTCCTTGATCGCCGGCTACTTGATCGGCGTCTGCGAGACCCGCTTAGGCGCCTTTTACCACGTCTTGCTGAAATCAGAAGCTCTTATTAACTCGATTTTGAAAAGGAAGAGATTGTATTCTTTACATGCATATGTAAAATCTTGAAGCGCAACTCTGAGGAAACACGGTGCGGCAGAGAACTCGGTAGCAACAATGAAACTTCGCTAATCGCAGCAAGCGAAGAAAACAAAGAATCCGCATTCTCATGACTCACAGTGACACTTAGCATGCTTGAATACGACTGGATAGAAATTAGCAGAGCAGTACAAGTCCATGTCTTTCTCACTGCTGAAAATTTATTCCAAAGAATGACCGCTTGAGAACTCTTTTCAATCTACACATTGACAATCTTGATGAACCGGACAGCATTTTGAATTTATGGTAAAACTCACTTGATGGCTAACGACCTCTGTATCGGTGTGATCGCCGACTGCGCCATCGACGGGAGCGTCGATCAGTGATCGGATGTAACTTCTGCGGGTTCGGCTCCTTCGACTCCTTCTACTTCCACTTCTAGACCGACTTTCTCCACTCCCACTTCTAGACCGGCTTCTCCTGTTGGGCATGTTATTAAATTAACTGAATGACATAATCTACACTCCTTTTAAAGCCTCACCATCGCATCGTAGGCACCATAATATGGTGATGAAGTCTGATAAAATGTTATCTTTACTAGCGTCATTCTTCTGAAAAATATTGTGTTTTGAATGAAAGTTTTATCAACGTCGAAGTGGGAACAACATCGAATTCAAGAATAAACATGATCTTTTCTTTTGAACACCTTTGAAATTGGTGGTACTTTCTATATTTTCTTGGTGATTAATATCAACCCATCCACTTGAGAGATCAAGAGGTGAAGTACTTAGGCAAATCACTATATGATGCTTACTTAGAAACTAATAATCTAGTGGAATAGGTCTCATCTAAAAAAAAAAACTAAGGGCTCACGAGGGTACCTTGGAATGCGTCCACTCATCCATTATAAAGCGAGATGGTATACTCGACAAGACATGTTAATGGTTAGTGGCTGATAGATAACTATAGATGTTGAAAAATGAGTGGTGGCGCAAATGTGCCTCGGTGGTGTAGTGGTAGAGCACGCGTCCTCGATATGGATGGAACGCGGGTTCGATTTACGACAGAGACCGCGTTTTTGCTCACCACTCAGTTCTTTTAGATCTACTACGAGATATGCTGAAATTTGAGCGTGGTCCTAAGAAAACACTCAGAACGAAAGGCATGAAATTAGAGTCGAACCGGAGTTTTTACAAATAATTTGAGAGATTTTGCAAAATTCGGAAATTTTGCAACGGCAGAAACGACCGCATGTTAAACAAGATTAACAGTATCGCTCATAGTGGTATGAACTTATTGTAATCTGACTGCTAACTAAAACTTTCAGGGAAGTTAACAAAATGTATTTATTGAGAAATTCATTTACAAATTTTGCAAAGACAGAAACGACCACATTTCGAACAAGTCAAAAAGCTCTTACTATTTTTAGAAAAAAAATTCTCAACATCTTAGTCCACAGCTTATGGAACTCCTTAGAATAAAAAATGGAAACGAAAAATGTAGTTAGTACAGTATCATATAAATGTTGACATCCACGTGCACAATGTTATAGCATAATCACAGTGATCGCTATCCAATGAATTTCTCAAGTTTTATAAATTTTAGTTGATCCAGAGATGCACCGTCTGTCCACAGCGTAAAAGTAACATATTCCTCGGATGCGAGGAAAAAGAAAGCGTTCCAGCATTAGTTATCGAGAATGGATAGTGTGAGATCAACTTCATGTGTATTTGTTGAAAAAACAATGAATTAGTAGTAGCCCATATACAAGCGTGATCAAAGGATATTAAGAGAAAATAGTCAGCGTCTCCAACAATATGCTCTCCATGTTATTGTAGACATGCAATGTCTGTAATTTCTTATTCTAATCTCAAAGCTATTTAGATTTCCAACTGCGAGCTTTACATGCACATAGTTTGATTCATTGTGCGTTCTCACACACTAGAATCAAAGACTGCTACAATGTACATGACTTTACTGAGGAAGTGTAAAGTTATTCATTCTACACTGCGAATTACTAAACTTTAAAGGAATGAAATTTCTTGGAAGGAGTTCTTAAGAGTATTATAGTTAAAAATGACCTCCTCAGGAGGTTATTGCCGCGTTTCTATCGAAAAGTTCGAGTAAGGTAGCGTGGGTCCATCGAGTACTCAGATGAGGTAAAGCCTTGCAGCTCGAGTGATCAACTCATACGGCGCTGGCCATACACGAATAAGCAATATAGGAAATTATCTTATTAACCAGTTTTTCTAAATGCGTAAGCTTAATCTATACTATCGATCTAGTGAATGATTCTATGTGTACTAGTCTTGCCATCTTTCTAAAGTTTCGATGAATTAAGCAACTTATAGACGACCATAAACTATGATCTCCTTTCGGTGAAACATTGATTCAGGAACTATTCAGGATGTGTATATCGGTTCAACTGCTGCCCTAAAATGTATCACTTATTTTGAAAGCCTCTTTTTGGTGTCGTGTAACGAATCCGAAAGGAAAAATTGTAAACGTTCAGTGTTTGTAGCATGAAAGAAGCCTAGAACAGATTTGCAATAAAGACTGTGCTGCCTTTCCGTCCAGTAAAGCACTATCCGTGTGCCAGACTGTTGTTTTTCAAGTATATAGCACCAGTCCGGAGCTTTCTCTTGAGTGAGCCCATCTCCTGCGCAAACTTCAAAATATCTTGCATGTGAATTAATTCCAAAGAAAGTTTCGAAGTGATCCCTATCGTTTGCAATAGTTTGATACCAAATCTTCCATTTTTAACGCCTCCCATCACCACCATGAAAAGTTGAATTCATCGCTGCACCACATGATCGTCAACAATTCCGTAATTAAAATCAACTTTCCGAAGGTGAATTAGGATCGCGTAACGAGTCATAGTTAGAATTTATAAGAAGAACTTTTATCAGTTTTCTTCGCTTTTCTTCATATTATAAAAACTCAAACCCTCGTGAGCGGATATCGCTCAGTGGTTAGAGGTGCTCTGCGTCGCACACTCCGATGGTTCGATCCTGCGTTCTTGGTTCACCTGATAAATTCATCCCTCCGGAGTCGGTAAATTGGTACTAGACTGGTCTCAGGCTTCTCCGGGAGGTTAAGCAATACTGACTCGGTTCAGCGGAGGCCACCGCGGGTCACTGTAAAGGCCAGATATGCATTCAATCACCTCAAACAAAGTTGAGGATTCAAAACGAATGCATGGCGCATCCCTCAAGTATTGATCAATGCCGAGAGCTCTATGCTTTGAACGCCTCGATCCTACGTTGATTTATCACGAGGCGGTGATGCGAGCCGCATGCGTTACAGTGACAATATAGTAGTTTTCTAATGAAATTTGAATTTAACATCACTGAATGAAGTTCAGCCGTCGGTCAATGGCAAGATATGATGGAAGAGACTTCATTAAGGCTATTTTTGATTGAAGCATGAGAAGACAATTACAAAAGAACAAATTTGTTTCCCAAAAATGATTCTGCGCATTACATTACGATGCCACTTCATACCTAATTCGAAAAGCTTCTTATTATTAATGGGCCATAGAAGCTAAGAGTTTTATGGTGTTGTAGAATAGGCTTCATTCTATTGTACTATGAGCAATAACTTTTCGTATTGAAAGTTTATATTCTGATATGAACATAATTGTACCTTGTATTTTGTTCAAAGAACTATTCAAAGAGATGAATGCATACTCTATCAAGACTTGTTCTTCTAGGCGTCTTTCATTCTGAATAATGTGTCTTCGAAATACATTTGCACAACATTGGCAAAAGGATAATGAAGAAAGAGTTCGAAATGTGTTGTTTACCCAAATATGTAGCTTTTGCATTAGAAAAGAAAAATTTCCAAATTTGGGTGTTTTTTTCACCAATAAAACCCGTATATATATATACATATATATACATATATATATATATATATATATAGAAATTTGCCCAGTAACAATCTATTCCTTTCCATAAAATAAATTTTGCTTGAAAATTAAAATTTAGTGTGCCATACCGAAAAATCTGCTATCACGTTCAAACAGCACACACCGTAAACAAAATGTTATCGTTTGTTTTTGTTAGTAAAACGTAGTATGAATGTCCTTTCACAAACACAGCTTGGTATCAAAACTGATATTTTTCAAGCCTACAAAAGCTTAGAATAAAAAAGGACAAATGTTATGAAATAGCTGGAATTTTCGTAAGAGTCTCTGTTGTGGTATTCCATAGTTTGACAATGACTATGTTTTCTCAACTGAGTTTATAAAGCGAGATTACATACCCAACCAAATCCGTTGAAGGTTGGTGAGTGGCAGCGATTATAAAGATGTTGAAGAGTGAGAGGTGGCACAGCATATGTGCCTCGGTGGTGTAGTGGTATCACGCGTCCCCGCTATGGATGAAACACGGGTTCGACTCCCGTTTGAGGTCGTATCTTTGGTCACCACCCAATTCTCCTGGGTATATATGTTTTCTCGAAATTCTGGTTTGCGAATGAAAATTGCATAATTCTATTACAGAGTGCTCAGATGCAAATTACCGCCTCTTGTATTAGCGCCAACACGCGATCTGTGCCCTCTGCGAAATACACGTTTTCATACACTGCTTCAATATCTTCGCTGTTTTCACCCTAAACTGTGTTCGCATTATACAGCCAAAATTCTTGTGAAAAGGAGATACTTTAATAACCCTTTCGTACAAATTCGGTTTACCTGTAGTGGATAACTACTAGTTACTTCCTAAAGTTGAATTCTCATCAAAGAACGATTATCATTTTTCCGTGATTTTGAACGAATCGACAAAAAGATTAAGCTTCTGACTTTGATTTATCCCTGTGAGATTGAGTTCGACTACATCAAGTATCGTGGAGGTGAGTGAATGCATATATGACTAATATAGCAAATCAAGGTGGCTTCAACAAAGTTCTAAATCAGTAAATTTGTTCAACCAAGAGAGTTTAGCTCTGATTTGATAAAATTCCCGAAATAAAAGATTTATAAGTCTTGGCTTGATCCCGCACTCAAAACTCACGGAACCATCCATGATGCGGAGTTGGCAAATCGATATCAGACATGTCTGGGAAGATTCGCAACACTGCTTTGATACATTGGTAGGCCACCTCGAGTAATTGTAAAGGCGAGATTTACATTCGATCAGCTCTGACGATGCGATGAGTCGAATGCATTCTTATCTTTCTCCGGCAGAATCACACCAGTTAAAAAGGAGATTCCATTCCTATTGCAAGGTGGAGAGTGAATGTAGTCCAAAGAGCAGAGTCTAGCGCGCCATTGATGGACAGATTCTCGTTAACATGAAAAAGTAGCTTCATGCATTGAATCACTACCGATGCTTTATAAAGACGAATATCTGGCGCATTCGTAAGAGGATGGTCAGTGCCGAGAGCTTTATCCTTCTATCCTTCTGGTACCACTGTTTCCCAGTCATAACACTCTTTTGACATTGTAAGCGATTCATGAGCAAGAGGAATTTTCATGCAACAGTCGAAAGCGCACGGAACGTTCGCAGACTTTCGAGACGATGGATGCGATTAACTGGAATGAATTCTCAAAGTGTTCGGATCCTCACAGTGAAAATGTGCTGATGGATCGTGTACATCTGAAAAAAAAATGTCGCTGTGAATGAGTTTGTACCTGTTTGAATGGAAATACGACTTGTCACGATATCCCTTTGTGGGTCATGAAAATCATTTTAACCTCGAAATTTCTAAAGCTCTCTTTTTCGCTGAGCAAAGCTTTTTAGCTAGAATTTAAGTAGTCATTCGAAAATTCAAATATCGGCAATTCCGACGCTTTGCTTGGTTTTAAAACGAACCTACAGTACGCTGTAGCAGCAAAGATAAGATTATGTTTCACACTCGGTTTACCTTATTTGCTCAGCTAAACTCTGTGAATCGCTTTCTACTAGAACTACACTGAACTCATTCGATAGCCAAAATTTCGGCAAAATTGAAGCGTGAACTAGTCTTTGAAAACTTCTTATAGTGCACTGTGAGAGCGAAAATGAAATTATGTTTCACTTTTGAAGGTTTGTTTGCACATGGGAGTTATGTATGCACAAAAAATTTCAAACTTGTAGAGAAAATTATGTCCTATCAGAGCGACACAAGAAACTTGAAATCTTCGAACAAAGCAAAAACTTTGTTGACGAACACATATGGCGCCCTACTGGTGATATCGCTTATGCTCTCGTCTGTAAATGGATTTAGCCGAATGTGTACGATGTGATTTACATCCACATCCTCCAAACGGTTTAACCATTTCGAATGCTTCAGTAGGCGCAAAAAATACGTTCATCTGGCCGAATATCAGAACTGAATACTGGTTTGACCATAGACTTGCAGCCCTGCTCTGTACCTCGGACATCCCATTGGTTATCTGCAGCCTTTTAAGACGAAACTCGTCTTTTTTTTACAAAAGAGATGATCATTTCTTGATCAAAAGAGTATTTCTTGAGTGAAGAATTTCGTAAGTTTGTGGCAGAAGCTTTACCTTATCGCACCAATCGCCTAATAAACTTTTGTATAATGTTCTCCACCAACTTAATAAGTTTGGAGTTTTAAATTCTCTACAGATACTTAGAACCTTCGGGAAACTGTAGGCAATTATCTTGTCAAACAGAATGCCTTTTTATTTAACTGCTTTCAGCGGTGATGTGATGTTATAACTTTACTGTGGTGTTGAGTGGTATGCAAGAGTTTGACATAATGCTAGATTCCAACCCACATTTCAAATCTTCCGCGAGTGTGTGCTCTGAGCAATTGCACTACAGACGCCTGTTTTGTCTACAATAATTCAAATCATAAAATTTTCACAGAGCTGCGTCAAGTAACAAGCATAAGCGACAATTTGAAGACACTGGCATGCTATTCTGCATAAGTCCCAATTGCTATTTTGCTTTTATGCTCGAAATACTAACCTCTGAGCAATCGAGTGAAAGGAATATTTGTCATACGCCACAGAAAATCAGAACTTGGTCGTAGTATAGCAAACTTTTCTTCCATCAAAGGTTTATGGACTATATTAGTTTCTATTGTAACTAGCATAATTCACAACGAGCAGAGAGAATATCGTGATTTGACTTTAGGAGCGGTCATTGTTTTGCATTCTATGATTCCTGTAAAAGTCATGACATCGCATAAGCTCAAGTGCTTTCGCCATGAAGCGATGCTATCTTGACGACTGTGATGCTATTATTCGACATTCATTTTCAGTAGTACATTTTGGTGTAGTTATGCGAATATTCGGGGCATTGATTATATCACTCCATGAATTTTGGCACTAGAGCAATATACAGCAATTACATCAACGAGAAATAATCAAAGTTGTATAATTTTGGTATCGCCCATTTGCGCATTTTCATGCCAACATTTTGAAATACAACTGCATATACTTGCTTTAAGATGGAGCTGTATGAGAACAGTTCGATGGCTAATCATGCACAAATGGCGTGTAGTTAGTGGAAGATACTAGTGAAGCAGCGCGCAAGATTAACGGAGCTTGAAGCGATGATACGGTTGCAGAAAGGACGACTAGGAAGTGGTTCGCGAAGTTCAGTGTTGTAAAGAACAGTCTGGAGGGACTAGTCGCGCTCTAGCCGTCCATAGGAAGCTCCATTATTCTTGCGCACTGTTCTTGAAAAGAAGCAATTTTGTTTCCACGATAGCTCCATCTTAAGGCAAGATAGGCAAGTTGTATACCAAAATCGACCCAAGAAAATGCGCAATTGAACGTTACTGAAATCATGCAATCTTGATTACTTTTCGTCAATGAATTTAGTGTTTATTTTCCTATTGTTAAAACTTATGAAACGACCTAGTGTATTTCAGCTACCGTACAGAGAAGAGTGAAAGTTCTGGCTGTAAAAAATGATTGAGCAAAGGCATTCATAACCATTACTTTAGGTTTTTTTTTACTATCAAGGCAAATGCGGCAAACACAAGCACAATGAGTCAAGCATTTTTATTTTTCAAGTGTCTTTTTATAGAATACGATATTTTTTGCCTTAGCAACAAAATCCTCGCAGATTAGGCATAAATTGTCAGTGAAGATCAGAAACGTAGTCTGCTATTGAAATTAGAGATTTTCTGTAACAGATAAAGTTGATGGGGTAAGGAACGAAGAACATTTTCTAGATATAACTCAAATGAGAATACACATGAAAAGGCAGGAAAAAAGATAGAAAAATGGAGTTGTAAGGTGAGATTAAAGGTTCTCGATACAATATCATTTTCCATAAACTTGTTGGAACTGACAAATCTCTCGTAAAATCTCGAAACGTAACTGTGCTGTTAAAAATTTCTCCTACTGAGTGATTAACCGTGCCTCGGGCATCAGCTACCTATGGTTCAGTTAACTCTTACTTAAGCTTATCAAGCTTGAGCAGGAGTGGTTGTGAAATAGCGTTCAGCTGATCCATAAATCTAAGCGTTTCGCGCACCTGAGTCCTCCATTTATCAGTGCGGTTCGGGAAATCTTCGAGCCGTAAGAAACAACACCAACCTTCCGAATTAAAAACCTTTTTTGAATCTGAAGTTGTGAGTATAATACCACATATCTTTTCCTTT